ACCAAATATTATTATAATGAAATTTCCTTATTAGAAACAAATTATAATTTGTTCACACAATATGTTTTTGGGGGTCTCTTTCACCTTTTATTTTGCATTTATTTATTCATTCCTCTTCCCTTCCTTTTGTTGTTATTGTGAAAGAATGAGAAGGATGGATGGTGTCTGACACACTTTAGTTGTGACTAGTCCTGGATATCACTCACTTTGTTGTGCCACCAGGGGACCCAAACCATACTGCTACTGGGACACGCTCAGCTCATATGGGGTGCTACTAGGACTCAGAATTCATACTCTTTATTTGCCAGTCAGGCATTTTGCCAGTGAGAGATCCTTGAGAAATTAATAGACATAGCTTAATTATAGATAACAAATATTAAATATTCTCTTTGATATTTTACTCCCCAGTAAAATTAACCAAGTAGTTTAGCTTGGGTTTTTATAGCAAGATACCATAAATCAAATGTATTAAATAAAAGAGTTAAACACGCCTCTGTATTCTTCACTGGAGTGAACAGTCTCGTTGGAAAAGTATCAGTAGTAGTGTCTTGTCACTTGTATTATACAGTGATGGAATAAAGTTTAAATCAGAGGACAAGGATAATGAGATTGAGCAATAAAATTTTCAGGAAAGCATACTCTCTAAGGTATCTTGTGAGATCTGATGGGTCCTCTAGGGGCAAAGCCTTATGGAAAAGCTTTGTGTGGTAGTTGAGTGAGTGAGTTCACTTGCTCAGGCTCAGAGAAGGAAGTGTTTTTGGTATATCTGGGGAAATACTAGTAAGTTTTCAATCTGGAATACAGATGGGATGAGAGAAATGGGAACAGGGCCACAGATGGTTGTCTAGGCCCTCTCAGGGCATGCCAAGACCTAGACTTACCTGCTTTAAAAAATATTATTATTTTTTCTTTTAAAAAAACGCATCATCATGAAATACATAGTTACAAAGTTGTTCATGGTTGTGTTTCAGTCATGTAATGTTCCAACAGCCCTACCATCCAACACCAGTTAGATGTTTCCAACATTAAGTTTACTTGCTTTGATAGGCACCAGAAAACCCAAAATAAACAGCAAAGGCAATGAAAATATTGACTTGTGTAAAAATCTGCCACTTGCTAATTTATCTCTTGCTTCAAAAAAAGAGGCTTTATTATGCTTTACCTAAAAAACATGGTACAGATTTTGAACTGTCATTAAGAATGTTTGAAACAAGCGATTGGCAAGTGATCTAAAAGGTAACCTGACTATTAAAGGCAGCCTCGAATCTCATTTGATTTCTTTTTCACTGCAATGTTATTTTTAGAATCAAGAGAGAAAACATAAATTTGAATAAAAAGCTCTACCAAAAACAGAGGCTGGAGCGATAGCACAGCAGATAGGGTGTTTGCCTTGCATCCAGCTGACCAGGGTTCGATTCCTCCGCCCCTTTCAAAGAGCCCAGCAAGCTACCGAGAGTATCTCGCTCCCACGGCAAAGCCTGGCAGCCAACTGTGACGTATTCGGTATGCCAAACACAGTAACAAGAAGTCTCACAATGGAGACATTACTGGGCCCGCTCGAGCAAATTGATGAACAACAGGACAGTGCTACTGAAAAAAAAGTGGAAATGTGGCCTCCTTGTCATAGTCCTCCCCTTTGTGTCCAGGCACTCATGGTTGTGTTTTCTTGGTGTTGAAGAAAGTCAGCTACACCAGGAGAGCAGGAGGAAGGCAGAAATAAAGCACTTGTTTTCTCACACATTTAAGTGATGGTTTAAATCTCAGGCAAACAGCAGACTGAGGCTCCGCTCTAAGGCACCAGCTGTTCTTCTGATTTTGGAAATGATTTAAGGGCTTTGAAATATTCCATTTTATCATGTGTAAAAAGCCAAGTTGACAGTTCTTTTTTAACCCATGACCATTATATTCCTTGAAGACATACCATTTCCGTTTAAAATCAAGACAAGGAAACAGTTTAATAAGTTTAATTCTGGCAGGATAGAAAATTTTGCTTTGTAATGAAAGTAAGTTTTCAAAGATGTTTTATTTTTCTATATTTTTTATTTTAAATATTTAGCTAATTAAGGAAATTTTTTTTCAAAAGTTAAATATTCACCATGTTTTTTTTCTATATTCACCATGTTTTAAGAGAACAGATGATCATTTCAGATGCAGTAGTCTATCTATGAACATTTTCTTCTAGAAGGTTATTAAAGCTTTGAGCCACTAATATTGATACTAGTAGCATGAGTTGAGGTGTGCAGCATTAGGTCACCTTAAATCTCTGCCCGTGGAATAGATAGCCATCAAAACTTATAATGGGATGGCTGTGGATTTGGCAGTCATAAAAGGAAACCCCCAGCCCCATTTCTCTCTCTCTCTCTCTCTCTCTCTCTCTCTCTCTCTTTCTCTCTCTCTCCCTCCATGGGACAGAGACATACAGCAGAGCAGGGACAACACAGGGAAGTCATAAATAGTATAATAAACTCTAACTTTTCATCTACTGAGATTTATATGCAAATCTACTATGCAGTTCTCAAGAATCCACCAGTGCAGGAAAAGAGTTATATCTACCTTAAGTTCTACTGTAAATTGGAATGTGGAAAATATGCAGGACATTTGAAAAATGCAAGTCTAACCTTTTTTTCTTTTTTTTCTGGCAACTTGAAGCAATATAAAAATATATTTACATTTTAAAAAACTCTATTAGGACTGGAGATGTGGTTCAGTGGGAAAATTCATGGCCTGTGTACATGAGGGTATGGATTCAATTTGGTTCCCCAAAAAATAAGAACTGAAATTTGGAAGTGACTCAGTATAATTTGGAATTTGGCTAGTGAAAAGAGCATAAAAGATATGTTTTTAATAGAAAAAGTTAAGGCATTGTTTCTAGGACCTGGAGCGATAGCACAGCGGCTAGGGCGTTTGCCTTACACGCGGCCAACATGGCCGACCCGAGTTCGATTCCTCCGCCCCTCTCTGAGAGCCTGGCAAGCTACCGAGAGTATTCGATATGCCAGACACAGTAACAACAAAGTCTCCAATGGAGACGTTACTGGGCCTGCTCGAGCAAATCGACGATCAACGGGAGGGCCTTTACCTTTAGGGCTGGAGCGATAGCATAGCGGGTAGGGCGTTCGCCTTACACGCGGCCAACATGGCCGACCCAAGTTCGATTCCTCTGCCCCTCTCGGAGAGCCCGGCAAGCTACCGAGAGTATTCGATATGCCAGACACAGTAACAACAAAGTCTCCAATGGAGACGTTACTGGGCCCGCTCGAGCAAATCGACGATCAACGGGAGGGCCTTTACCTTTACCTTTACCTTGCAGAGAAAAGAAAAATAATTGACTTTTTATATTCCAAAAAGAACTTTTAAAAATTAGAACAATGGATATGATTTAATTTTGGAAATTCAAAGTATGGATCCAAGAATTAATTCTAAAAAGTTTTACTTTTAATTTTCCTGAAAAATGGGAAAATAATTTTTATTTTAATGCACAGTAAATTTCTTAAACAGAAAGTTCTTTAAACCAAAAGTGCAGAGAGACAGATGTTGTTTATTTCATCTAAGGCTTTAGGAGAGAGACATCTTGAAGATGGTGTTTAAACAATTATCAGCTAGTCAGTTTGAAATATGTTTACTTCTGCAGTGTTTTTATTCCTACTGCTAAATGTAATGGCAAACATATTGCATACCAATATTATTAAGCAACTACTGTGTAGAGGCATAGTAGTTGGTAATCTGTATGATAATGACATAGTACATTTTTATGAAGTTTTAGGTTTCATTTGGAACAAAAGTATTTAAAGTAAAATTTTCATTACTCTTAATATTTAAATTTAGCTTTCTTATTATCTTATAGTATGCTATATTTAATGCCTTTTAACAGTTGCATTGAATTATAATTAAAGCATCATAAGACATAAAACACAAATTTACCAGATTTTGCTGTTGTATATTCCACAAGTATTTACCAACATTAAGGTTATCAACATATTCTTGATCAACAAATAAATATTTTCTCTCTGTATTCCTACCTCTGCCTAGTCCCTGCACTTCCAATCCAGATAACCACTATATTTTTGATACTATAATTTTAGTAGGTGTTCTTTATTCATAATCATTATTGGGGATACTTTTGAATGTATATGTTTATAGATCATTTACTTTTGTTGTATATTTTTTTCCAGTGTTTAAATGCACCATGATTATTTATACCTTCATTTATAGATGAACACTTATATTTCTACTTTTAATGATGCAAGACATTCACAACCACTATGAACATAGTGTATAACATTTATTTTCACAACTCCTTATATGAATATATGCTTATGTTTTCTTGAATAAATAATAGATTGATATGGAGCATATGCCTATATTTAAAAAATTTAAATTTAATTATGTTTCAACTTTTATTGAAGCTCCATGAGTGATAGTAGAGTTAATGAGTTAGATGTGTACAATGTCTCATCAATGTCCCAAAGTCTTCTTCCATTCACTCTTACTCTCTTAGTAAGCTTGCATTTTTAAGAAGTTGCTATGCCTTTTTCAGAGTTGACTACATTTTCCTGTTTCTACCAGTATATGGCTGGAGCGATAGCACAGCGGGTAGGGCGTTCGCCTTACAAGTGGCCAACATGGCCGACCCGAGTTCGATTCCTCCGCCCCTCTTGGAGAGCCCGGCAAGCTACTGAGAGTATTTGATATGCCAGACACAGTAACAACAAAGTCTCCAATGGAGACGTTACTGGGCCCGCTTGAGCAAATCGACGATCAATGGGAGGGCCTTTACCTTTACCTTACCAGTATATGAGAGTTCTAGTGCTTCACCTTATCACTAGTTCTTGACATTGCCAGTCCTTTGAACTATTTGACACCTGATGGACTTGTGTTATATCTCATTGGATTTGACACAATATTGTCCATGACTAATAATACAGAGGTATTTTACTTTTTGATGCCTTCCAAATGGTGCTCAGAAGTCCTGAGGAACATTACTGTTGATTCTCAGGTACCTGCATCAGCAGTACAAGTCTTTAAGGACATCGTGGTGTTTGGGCATAATGGTACTGAGGTCTATTTGGACCACTCTGATGGTGTTCTGATGCCTGCAGGATCACACCTGCAATTCTTGGGAACTAGATAGCTCCAGATATCAAACCAGGTATCAACTACACGCTCCTCAACCCAGTGCTACAGCACCAGTCCCTGTTCTATATATTTTTCATGAGATTTTTTGACATCCACATCTTCTGTCAACTTTAATTATTCTGTTGTTATAAGAGTGTTTTTTATTTTCTATCATATGTATTGAAAATTATTTACATATTCTGGGTATAATTCTTTGTTAAAATATGTGATTTTCAAATCATTTTCTTGTCTTTGCCCTTTTAATTGTTCTCTTAATGTATTTCAGAGACCAGGAGTTTTAAACTGATGAGCAAGTTAGCATTATTTTTTCTCTGACTCATATTGTGGACCCCAATTCCCACCCAAATAAAAACAGTTTTTGCCTAAAATAATGTGTTGATTTTACTTTTTGTTTTATTCTGTAGGCTTTATAGTTTTTGTTTTCATGATTTGGAGCCACAACAGGTGGTGCTCAGGGCTGACTCCTGGATCTGTGCCAGGAGTTACTTCTGGCAGACTTGAGGAAACATGTGCTGGGAATGAGACCTGGATTGGCCACATGCAAGGCGAGTGTCCTACCCCTTGTACTATCTCCTAAGCCCCTCTAGTTTTATATTTTACATTATGATGTGTTTGAAATAACCTTTCTACATTGTGTAATTATGTTGAATTTCTTCTTTAAAATATATAGGGATGTGGTATTTGTTGAGATGATCATCTTTTCCCCACAAAATTACCTTTGTAATTGTTTCAAAAATCAGTCTACACTGGTTTCTTTGTTCTTTTCTATTGAACTTTCCCCACAAAGTGATACCAATACTACACTGATTAACCTACTATATAGTTTTTAAATATTAGTTAATGCATTAATGCATTTTTATAAAAATTAGCTATGTTTTCATGAGAATTTTATTTCTTAGAGAAATAAAGGCATTTACAGAGATTTCAACATTTACTACCTGCTTCTCACATATGTTGTCCTTCTCATTACTAAATAACACACATTTTCAGACCAATTAGTATCCCACATATTCTCTTAGTTGTAAGCTGTTGATTGATTTCTACTGAGGCATATCTTATTAAGAAAGAGATCTCAGGGCAACAGTACAGTGAGTGTATGTAGCTGACTTGAGTTCAATCTCCAGTATCCCATATGGTCTGAATACCACCAGGAGAGATCTCTGAGTTCAGAGTCAGGAGTAATCCCTGAGTACTGACTGGTGCGGCCAAAAAAACTGAGAAAAAAATAAAAGGAAAAAAATAAAAGACTCCCTGATTTCTTTTAGAATGGCTTATTTTTTCTCTTTCTGCGAAAAAAGAAAAGAAAAAGGAAAAGAAAATCACAACACACTAAGGGGTCTTCTTCAGACATTTATTTTGAGAACCAGGTACATATTTGGAGGTAAATAAACTTTTACATTATTTTCTGCTGAGAATTTTTGTGTTCTATTCTTGTTTGTCTCCATTTTTCTGGGGTATAGTTATTTCACTTGGAAGCAATTTACATCCAGTTGAATCTTAATATAAAAGTTCAGTGGGATGTGGAATATTACTCTATGGGTAATTTTGCCACCACAATAAGAAACAACTTTTCTGATTAGTTTACTTGATGTCATTTGATGTATTCCACACAGTTTCAGGAAAAATGAACTATTCCTGGAAATTATCTTCTCTAATATATTTTACACCCCTAAATAATTTATTCATAGCACAGCGAGCAGGGCATTTGCCTTGCACTCAGCTGACCCGGGTTTGATTCCTTCGCCCCTTTCGGAGAGCCGGGCAAGTTACTGAGAGTATCCCAGGCTCATGAAAAAGCCTGGCAAGCTCCCCGTGACATATTTGACATGCCAAAAACAGTAACAACAAGTATCACAATGGAGAAGTTCGGGCTGGAGCGATAGCACAGCGGGTAGGGCGTTCGCCTTACAAGCGGCCAACATGGCCGACCCGAGTTCGATTCCTCCGCCCCTCTCGGAGAGCCCGGCAAGCTACCGAGAGTATTCGATATGCCAGACACAGTAACAACAAAGTCTCCAATGGAGACGTTACTGGGCCCGCTCGAGCAAATCGACGATCAACGGGAGGGCCTTTACCTTTTACCTTTTACTGGTGCCTGCTAGAGCAAATTGATGAACAATAGGAGGACAGTGACAGTGACAATGTATTGGCTGATGATTATGTTACAGGAGGGGATCTCTTTCCAAACACAAAGGTGATGCTTTGTCTAAATCTGGTAAACAATTTAACTGAGGAAATCATGCTGACATTGCTAAAATATTTTATTGCAAAGGAACACTTGAGAAGGAATAGGTGACAGTCAAGGAAATCCAGGAAAGAAGCCAAGCAACTCTCCTTCAAGTGTCTCATTGGTGCCAGATTTTAAAAGGGGGTCAGCCTTCTGGTTTGATTTGGGGCCAATCAATTTCCTCTGTCAAAGATGTATGTGTTTTTCTCTGGAAAATTAGCTGGACATTAACTACTCCTTTGTACCCTCTGATTCCTGAGCAGTTTCACAGTTCTCAGCAAAGCTTCCAGGTTCAGAATTTAGAGGGAGTCATGTCTTTTGCTGTGGTCTTAGGCTACCTATCCCAGGTGTCCAATATGCATACTCTCTTCCATTCTGTTTCTGGGAACGCATTAAAGTTTTGCCAGGTGGGACCAGTTCAATAGTGGGGAGAGGAGGGATGGTAGGAAGGAGGCGGGAAAAGAGGAGATTACATCCCCTAACACATGCTTGGCAAAATTTTCTAGAAAGGCTATTTATAGATCTCTGGAGATATGTACCCTCTAGCTACCACGGCCTTTTTCATCTTCCAGATTTATCTGCTTAAACTGAAGCCGCTGCCAGGCTCTGGCATGGTTTCCCTATGTTACAGAGGATGCTTGCTAATTTCTGGGTCTTGTGGAATGTATGTAGATTCATACAGAAACCAACTGGTATCTTTGAGGTTATAGCTCTTTCATCTAACACTTTAAGCAGGTATGTTTCTGTGGGCTGCAGCAGCTGCAACACCCATGTCGGGAGCAGCAACCCTGAGTACCGTTCTGCTTAGTGCTTCTCGCTGTTCTTGGTCTTTTTCCTTTCTGTCAAGATTTTAAAAAGTTATAGTACATGCAGATAAGAAACTCAACTTTGCTCTACTGCTGTTTGTGTGAGTGTGTATATGTGTGAACTAATAATGGACTAATAAATGCAGGATTGGATCCTGCAATTTAAACAAACACCTCAACATATTATAAGTCAGTGGTACCTAGGCAAACTGCTCCTATATTAAGAAAAAATTGTCTCAGAGAGCTCAAATAATATTTGGTTTGCTTTCAGCTACTTGGTCTATAGCCCAGAGCCTGAGAGTTGCTCATTCCTTTGGGAAAAACAGCTCTGCAGCAACTCATTTTACACCAAAATGATTAACTAAACTTAATTGAGCATAGCATTTAATAAAAAAGAGGTTCCTTGGGAGAAAACAGTGTTTTATATTCTTCAATTGTGCAGCATGAAATTGCTGTGATTTGTGTACGTGTGTGTATATTTTAGAAATACTTTACAAAAGACTCTTGCAACCAGTATAGCTTTTCCATGGTGTTTGTCAAATTGTTGACTATTAGGAAAATGATGTCAATTTATTTTTCTATACTTTAGACAAGACTTCATCTTCTTCTGACCAATTATTTACCAATTTTTAGGAATAGGATATAGAAGAGTCTAGTTTGAAAAGTCATCTTTGAACTAAATCATATGAACTTCTCTCTATGGAGACATGTACTTCCAATTTTATTTTCTGCAATCTAGGGGCAATTTCTTTCATCTGAAAATGTTTTGAGAATGAATTGAAGGAAAACTCCATTATAGATGGAGATACAGTTTACTCGGGCTTTAAAATTTTTTTTGTCATTCTTTTTTGTGGGGGGAGGGGTCAGATCTGGCAGTCTTTACTCCTAGCTCTATGGTCAGGCATCACTCTTGGCAGTGCTCAGTGAACCATATATATAAGGTGCCAGGGATGGAAGTCAAATTAAGCTGATGCATGGCAAGTCTCTTTACCACACAGACAATGTGCCAGGGATGGAACCCAGATTGGGTTCCTGCAAGGTAAATCCCTTTCCTGCTGTATTATCTCTCCAACTCCTACACTGTTAGTCTTTTAGACTATCACATTGCTTTTCTATTAATTTTCTAGAATACAATTTGCCTCAGAATATGATTTTCCCCTTTTTAGTCACAGGTAAACATATATGCTGCTATGTTATATAGGAATCTCAATGTATCCATACTTTGTACAGTATTACACTTTAGCTTGATAGTACAATTTAAATAACTTTGAATCCAACAGAATTCTATAGAAAAGATAATATGTAGATTAAAATGAGATATTAAAAAAGAAAAAATTGGTGTTTTTGGTTAACTCAAGTGGACAAATAACACATATAAGTTAGAAGATTTAAAATATTCTTATATATTATTATTTATTGTTTTCAAAAAGTCAATGTATGTAGTTTATAAGAAAGGCCTCATCCTGAATTCCTTTTTGCAAGAAACAAATGGATAATAAAATTTTGCAGTTGCTATTTCAGGGCACATTTACATAAATATTTGTAAAATTCTTGCCTTGACTTCAGTACTTAAATGTTTCTCTTAGGGAATGTATTTCTGTCACAGATAAGAGCATTCTAAAATAATCTCTTTTAAAGTAAATATAAAATGTAGAATGCTTTGTTTCTCTGCTGCTTTGTATTCAAATATAACTCAGAGAACCCTGAAATTGTTGAGGCTTGCCAACTCCTGCAGTCAAATATTTCCTACGGAGCCATGCATTTCTTGAACCATGGGAAAGTATAAACACTGAAGGAAAAAGAACACATACATAATTAAATTTGTTGGCCTCATTTTAGACTTGGATTACTCTAGTTCAGAT